CAATCAGCATCGAGCTGGCCGAGCAGCATCGAGCCGGCTTCCCAGCCAATTAGGGAGACAGGCGGTGAGTCACTACCCGCCGCCCGGCATCCTGATTGGCCGGCAAGGCACCATGTTCCCTTGCAGCACTGCAGGTCAGAGGTCACTTCCCTGACCAGAAGTTCCGGTATCGGGTAAGGTATCGGAGTATTTGGGCGAGAATGAGTACTCGCCCAAAGACTTGGTAACGGCACCAATACTAGTATTGGTATCGGTGCATCCCTAATATATGTATACATTTATACAGTATATTACAATACATTATACAGCAATGCAGAATACCATCAGCTATAGAGGACTACGAATCCCAGCAATACATTATACAGCAATGCAGAATAATATGAAGCTACTTCCACTTATTCCCCACCATTAGAAATCGACTGTGAGTCTCACCATAACCTAATGTGTTAGAGTTCTGTGCCATATCATGAGCATGGAGAGTTTGACTGCACAATTACATGATAGATACCAGCTCCATTTTCATATATGAAGTCGCTGGATTCTGTATATTATTACAAATTAACTCCCATTCAACTCAATCTATGTCTTGATCAATGAAATACAATTGCACTACCCCATTGGAGTGACCACCCCATTTCATTCTGCTCCCTGCTTCACAACCACATCTCTTCCTCTCTACACTTTTCTTCCTACTTCTTTCCCTCTGGTCTATCCTGCAACTTTTATTTCTGTTTCCTCACTCTGGACATCCTTGATGACCGTTCCATTGGAACTATCATTGGGTCTATGAACCACATCCACCAAGGAATAGAATATCCTCAATTTGACATGGGCATTTCCTGTCATTTATTACATCTCTGGACCTGCCATGCAACTCTACCACCGTTTGATGCTCATTTAAATGTACAGTACACTTATATACTAATTTGGGTGTCATGTGATGCACCTGGATATCTTGTGGTTGATGTCTACTGTATTTTTTTCTTCTTTCTTTAATTGAAATAAACTTAAATATGTAAAAAAAAAAAATATCTGTTAGTCTTGAAGTATTTGAAGAGGGAATATAGTACATTCGCAATGAGTACACATTTTCAGTTATTATTGTGCATACTTTTCATTGCAGGAAAGTATACTTGTAGTGACCTTTACTTTGTTACTTTGTTCATTTTGTATTATTGTATTAGATGTACAGTGCCTGTTTGTACTTTGCTGATTGCTGATATAACAATAAAGACCAATGTAGATAGGTAGATAGGCAGATTTCGCCCCTTTAGAGTGAACTGAATCAAACTACGTGAATCAAACTACGTCTTGGACTAAAAGTTGGAAAATCTCCATTAAAGTTCATCTAAGGTCAAAACTTTGTTATTATTTTTTATCTATTAGGGAATGATTAGAACACTTGTGCTCATTTACTTCCTGTTTGTAGACTCAGCAGGAAGTGAGAGGAAATCTCTCTAAAGGGAAGTAAACCCCTCTTAGACAGTTGTCACCAGAACACGTGTCCCCATTTTAGTAAAAACTAACAATTTTGAATCTTCCCTCACATTAGTCCCAGTGATAGGGGTCATCAGGACAAACAGAGATGATTGACTTCCTAGT